TCGGATCGGGGACTCTGCCGACTCCACCGAGCGGAGAGAGAAGCACCTCTACGGCTACCACCGGCTTCTCCCCAGACTCACCACTCGATCCCTCTCTCTACCCACTGGTTCCCTCTTCACCCTGCTTACTCTACCCGTTCCCACAGTGACCCCGCTTTCGTCACGTCCCCATTTTACTCCTCTACATATGTATGGCATTCATCTTCTTGGTTATTTCGGTAAAGTCACGTAGAAGGGAAATAATAAAATTATAAAATACATCATAAAATACAATTCTCACGACGTTTCAGCCACAACGCAAGCAGCCATCCTCAGGTGAAGAACAGGTCTGTCGGAAAGAAAGCGTCTGAATGAACACCACCAGGCTTGGCAGCGTATATTTAAGCTGAGGTTGGAGGGGGAAGGGCGCCTTGACAAATGAATTTGCATATCAAGAGGAATTTAGCATATTTATGGGAAATGCAGATATGGGATTAGTCACTACTTGTGAAATGCGTAGGAGGTGGGGGGGGTCTCAAATCGAAATGTATGGCATTGTCTTTGCAACTGATTGGCCTACACAAGAGACAGCCTTCTTTAGGGCCTCGTCTCACCAGTGTCAGACCAGAGAACGCCAAAAGGCAAATAATCGTCATCATCATGATGATGATGATTATTATAAGAGCGGACGATTATTTTTTATTTGTGACCAGGTGAGGCAGCAAGGAAACCCAGGAGTCTCATTTGCAAGAGTTTCAAGTTTCAAGTTCATGTATTAGGTATAGCCCTGTGAGCCATTCGGCTCTTGAATCGGGTGCAACCGCAACAAACAAAAAAGAAAAACATGAACAAAAAAACATCTTAAAGTGAACATGTGACTGAGTGCAAACAGAAAATCCAAGAAAAGACAGCAAAATATTGCAGAAAAAAACACCGTACACCAACGCTGTGTGCAAAAATCCCAGTGGGATGCAAGTCAAACAACAACAACAACAACCACAAGACACCTTAGATTAAGGCCATCAGTCTAACTCTGTACTACAACAAACAAACATGGCCACACCAATACACTTTTCGAAATCACCAAAATCAAGCTATGCAAGCAATGAAAACGCAATCGTAGGAACTGTGACCCACTATGATTAAAAACAAAAACACAACTCAAATCAAATCCGAATTTTTTTTTTAATGTACGCACGGCAAACAAAGACAAGATTTGGATAGAAACCGGCCCCAAACGCAACCGCCGCCGTGTCCGCGCGAGACATCGATCAACGTGAAGCGCTACATTCCCCGTCTCGCGCGGATCACCTTTCAGACCGATCGCAGGACAATTACAAAATTAGGTCATGGAGACATCACTTGCGGGGGTGGTCATCAGGCAGAAGAGGCGCATCGCAAACTGAGTGACAACAAAGACAAAAGTCACCCGTATAGCCCGTGGCAGAGTGTTGGGGCAAGTGCTGTTAGCGAGCACCTATGAAGGCCGGCACGGCACGCGAGGGGGTGGGTGGCCAACACCAAAGGAGACATTAGTATTTCTAGATTTGAAGCTTTCGTGACTGCAAGGATTCATACTCTTCGTTCTTTCGGTAAAGTCACGTGGGTAAAAAATGAAATTTTAATTAATAAAAATCAAAACAATAATTTCACGACGTTTCGGAGGCAACACAAGCTTCCGTCTTCAGGTGAAACATTAGTATTGTTATTACTGCCCTCATTCAGCCAGGCGAGCCTCACACCGAGTTTCAAGACTCGTTTCCAGGAGGGTCCTGCCTAAGGTGTGCCGCAGTGGCTATGAGATGTTAACTTCCTCACCTGGTTTGCAAGAGGTCGTGCCCGCGTGACCTCCTGCGAGCGGGCGTTCGACACTTCACGTGGTAGCCTCAACATGCACATAGCCTGGCACAAGCGTCGTGGTGACATCACCGCCACTTAGTGGCAAATGGCGGTTGTTGTTGTTGTGCTCGTGTGTGTGCGTGTTTGTTTAGCTTTTTTATTTTAATGAAAAGTAAAGGAAAGAGCCTTGGTGACTCCACCGAGCAAACGCCAAAACACAGCCACGCGGAGCGGAGAGGCGGTGTTTGCGCGACAGAGATTAATTCACATTTGAGAAACATCGCGTGCGCGCGTGTGCGTGTGCACGTGTGTGCGCGTGTGCGTGCGTGTGTTTGTGCATGCGTGTGTGTGCGCGCGTGTATGTTTGTTGGCGTGCGTGTGTGTGCGCGTGTGCGTGCGTGTGTTTGTGCATGCGCGTGTGTGCGCGCGTGTATGTTTGTTGGCGTGCGTGTGTGTGCGCGTGTGTGTTTGTGCATGCGTGTGCGCGTGTGTGCGCGTGTGTGTTTGTGCATGCGCGTGTGTGCACGCATGTATGTTTGTGCGCGTGCGTGTGTGTGCGCGTGTGTGTTTGTGCGTACGTGTGCGCGTGTGTGCGCGTGTGTGTTTGTGCATGCGTGTGTGTGCGCGTGTGTGTTTGTGCGTGCGGGCGCGTGCGTGTGCGCGTGTGTTGTGGGGAGCGGTAGTGTAGCGGTTAGCGCACTGCGCTACAAACCTGGCGACACGGGTTCGATTCCCGCTCACGACCAACACCGGTGACGATTATCTGAACCGGTCCTGGGCCTCCCCTAGGTCGACTCAGCCTCAAATTACTACCTGGTGCGATGTGTAAACATCGCCACTGGGGAGACAAAGGCGGCCGGGCGTGGTGTTGGCCACCCATCCCCTCGTGTGCCGTGCCGGCCTTCATAGGTGCTCGCGAGCAGCACTTGTCCTTACAGCCTGTTAAGGCTATACGGGGGATCTTTGTACGTGCGTGCGTGCGTGCGTGTGTATGTGCGTGTGTATGTGCGTGTGTATGTATGTGCGTGCGTGTATGTGCGTGTGTGTATGTGCGTGTGTGTATGTGCGTGTGTGTATGTGCGTGCGTGTATGTGCGTGCGTGTATGTGCGTGCGTGTATGTGCGTGCATGTATGCGCGTGCGTGCGCGCGCGCGATGTCAACGGCGACGCCTTTGAAGTCATCACATTGTGCAAACCCGAGAATTTGTTTCATTCTCCGGAGAGAGAGGGAGAGAGGGGGAGAGAGGGAGAGCGACAGAGAGAGAGCAAAGGAGAGAGACAGAGAGAGAGCAAAGGAGAGAGACAGAGAGAGAGCAAAGGAGAGAGACAGAGAGAGAGCAAAGGAGAGCGACAGAGAGAGAGCAAAGGAGAGCGACAGAGAGAGAGCAAAGGAGAGAGACAGAGAGAGAGCAAAGGAGAGAGACAGTGGGTGAGAAATCGAGAGAGAACGGAGGAGAGACAGAGAGAGAGAGAGCGCGCGAGGCATTGAGTCTCTCTCCGGGGCCCTGACTGAGTCGTAAGGGACCCTTTTAAAATTCAGCGTCATTCACTTAACAGAGCGCGTGCCCCCCACTGAGACGTACGATCTCATTTCCCACTGGGGCGGGGGGGGGGAGACTTGTAGCGGTCTGGGCACACTTTGTAATCTCACCCAACCCTACCCCGGCACACATCACCACCACCGCTACGCAACACAAAGACTCCATCATCATCACCGTCATCATCGGCCACGATCGATCCACTGCTGTACATAGTCACTCATCAGCTCAGCCACTCACGCAGTCACTCACCCACTCACGTAGTCACTCACCCACTCACGTATTCACTCACCCACTCACACAGTCACTCACCCACACACATAGTCACTCACACACCCACTCACACAATCACTCACCCACTCACACAGTCACTCACCCACTCACACAGTCACTCACCCACTCACATAGTCACCCACTCATAGTCACTCACACAGTCACTCACCCACTCACACAGTCACTCACCCACTCACACAGTCCCTCACCCACTCACATAGTCACTCACTCACCCACTCATAGTCACTCACACAGTCACTCACCCACTCACACAGTCACTCACCCACTCACACAGTCACTCACCCACTCACACAGTCACTCACCCACTCACACAGTCACTCACACAGTCATTAACTCACTCACGCAGTCACTCACCCACTCACACAGTCACTCACCCACTCACACAATCACTCACCCACTCACGCAGTCACTCACCCACACACACAGTCACTCACCCACTCACATAGTCACTCACCCACACACTAACCCATCCTCCCATTAGCATGGTTTGGCTACGTACGGCGCGAAATAAGTTCAACAAATGTACACACATTTTTATTTATCCCTTTTAACACATACACACATACATACTTCATACCTGTCCACCCCGTATCTGTGCCTACCTTATTACAGACCAATTCAGACCTCATTGGTCACACCGTGCCCCTTATAATACTCAACGTTCATCCTACAAAGTCCCATCACACGGGAGAAACACAAACAAATAAACAAATACGCATTTCTCTGCCCGTATTGAACCTGCTGTTCGCCGCGTGGACCTGCAGACTCAATGTCCCTGTACAAGCACACGGGGTTAAACCGTGCCGAGCGCTCTGACCACCGTGCCACTCCAACCCCGATGGCGTCGCTCGTTCCTGTCAATTACCGCTTGCCCATTCCCCACCCACCACGACTCACCCACCCACACCAACCACCCACCTCCTCTCCCCTCTTGCCCCACGTGCGTCCGTGCGAACGCAGGTGTGGCAACAAGGTGGTGCACTACGCCGCGGTCTTCCAGGGCGGTCGTCCCGGGCACCAGCAGGGGCAGCACAACAACAACAACGACAACAACAACAACAACAGCAACGGGGAGGCCAAGCTCGTGGCTATGGAGACCAACCAGGTGGAGGGTGCGGGCGGCAGCCTCCCTCCTCCTCCACCACCGCCGCTGTCAGCCGGCCCTCGTCCTGAAGCGGGGGGTGAGCTCGGACCAGGAGGATTGGGAGCAGGCGGAGGAGGTGGTGGAGATGGTGCAAGAACAGGTGGAGGAGATGATGTAGGAACAGTTGGAGGAGCTGGTGGAGGAGATGGTGCAGGAACAGGTGGAGGAGATGGTGGAGGAGATGGTGGAGGAGCAGGTGGAGGAGATGGTGGAGGAGGTGGTGGAGGAGGAGGCGAAGGCCTTGTCGAGGAGACGCAGCTGAATGGACAGACGGATCAGCCGAATATCTCGCGAGAGGAGGAGATGGATGCCGTGGACTCCGATGACTTCCGCAGTTCAGGGAGGAATCCAGGTTCGGTCGATGATGCCTCCGGTGATCGCCGTGGCCTTGATGAGTTTGCCAACTCCGAGGAAGACCTGGACGTTGAGGAGGAGCAGGAGGAGACCCACGAGTCCGAACGGGACGAGCACCTCGCCTTGGCTCCGGGAGCCAAGGGGGGACGAGATGGAGATGACCCACGGGAGGAACGGGAGGCTGGGTGGGCCATGCCAGGGTCCATCCAGGCTCTGCCACAAATGGTCTCGGACGCTCTGCACAGACAGCAGCGGCAGCAGCAGCAGCAGCAGCCTAAGGAGCAGCAGCTGACGGGAATCGATCCCGACTCCTTCCAGCTGACGCGCGGTGAGTCCCGCTGTGACCTGCTGCGTGGTGTGTGTGTGTTGTGTATATGGGACATCTTTGTCTTCGGCGTGTGAAAATTCCGTCACAGTTCCTATGATTGCTTTTTCATTGCTTTCATAGCTTTATTTTGGTGATTTCGAAAAGTGTATTGGTTTAGCCATGTTTGTTTGTTGTAGTACAGAGTTAGACTGATGGCCTTAATCTAAGTTGTCTTGTTGTTGTTGTTGTTTGACTTGCATCCCACTGGGATTTTTGGCACACAGCTTTGGTGTGCGGTGTTTTTTCCTGCAATATTTTGCTGTCTTTTCTTGGATTTTCTGTTTGCACTCAGTCACATATTAACTTTAAGAAGTTTTTTGTTCATGTTTTTGTTTTTTGTTTGTTGCGGTTGCACCCGATTCAAGAGCCGAATGGCTCACAGGGCTATACCTAATAAATAAACTTAAACTTGTGTTTGTGCGCGCTGCAGAATTCCTGACGGACCTCCCCGCGGACGCCATCCACTACGACCTGCAGATGTCCTCAGGTAAGGCGACGCGGGTCAGGGGTGGTGCTTGCCTGCACAGCTGCTGCTGCTGCTGCTCGCCAACAGAACGTTGTCTTTGATGTCGGAGCACGCACTCACCAACCAGCCCCTCTCTCACCTGGACACACGGCCCAGCCACCTCACCCTTCGGCGCAGAGGTCGCAACCGGGTACCCGATACCCGTACCCTACCCGATACCCGGCTACCCGTACCCGGCCAGGTACGGGTACCCGTTTGCGACCCTGGTGCGGCCGGGTACGGGTACGGGTAGGCCGTGAGTCACTGGTGAGTCACCGTTTGTCGCTCATTTCGGGTAGGGTACGGGTACGGGTAGGGAACGGGTACCCGTACCCGGCCAGGTACCCATTTGCGACCCTGGTGCGGCCGGGTACGGGTAGGCCGTGAGTCACTGGTGAATAACCCTTTGTCACTCATTTCGGGTAGGGTACGGGTACCCATTTGCGACCCTGGTGCGGCCGGGTACGGGTACGGGTAAGGAATCAAAACCCGTTTGCGACCTCTGCTTCTGCGTCACTCGCGGGTGAAGGCGCAGCTCCTGCAATCGCTGGCGCGCTCACGAACGCCACCGCCGCTGGCGGAAGGGGCCTCCCCAACTCGAGTGAGCGGCGGAGACGTATTCTGGTCGACTCATCTCATCTTTACGGCCTCCTCCGGTTGATTTATAATCGCGCAACGATGAGAAAGCATCTTCTTGGTTCTTTCGGTAAAGTCACGTAGAAGGGAAGTAATAAAATAATAAAACATAATAAAATAATTCTCACGACGCTGTCTCCCCGACAGACCTGGTCTTCACCTGAGGACGGCTGCTTGCGTTGTGGGCGAAACGTCGTGAGAATCATTTTATTATGTTTTATTTTTATTATTTTATTACTTCCCTTCTACGTGGCTTTACCGAAAGAACCAAGAAGAAGAAAGCACTTCGTTGAGCGATAATTTTTCATGAGCAGGTTGCTACTGAGAAAGGGTTTTCTCGCAGCTCAGTGGAGCTTTACCTGATGAAATACAACATAGTTTGGTAGTTTAGTTTATAGTTTATTAGTTCAGTTTATAGTTTAGTTTATAGTTTAGTTTATAGTTTAGTTTATAATTTAGTTTATAGTTTAGTTGAGAGTTCAGTTACTAGTTTATTTTATAGTTTATTTTATAATTTAAAGCTTAGTTTATAGTTTATTTTATAGTTTAGTTTATATTTAAGTTTATAGTTTAGTTTATATTTTAGTTTATAGTTTAGTGTATAGTTTAGTTTATTAGTTGAATTGAGAGTTCAGTTGCTAGTTTAGTTTATAGTTTAGTTTATAGTTTAGTTTATAGTTTAGTTAATAGTTTAGTTTAGTTTATATTTAAGTTTATAGTTCAGTTCATGCTTTAGTTTATAGTTTAGTTTATATTTTAGTTAATATTTAAGTTTACAGTTTAGTTTACAGTTTAGTTTATAGCTTAGTTTATAGTTTAGTTTATAGTTTAGTTTCTAGCTTAGTTTATATTTAAGTTTATATTTAAGTTTATAGTTTAGTTTATGGCTTAGTTTATATTTAAGTTTCTAGTTTAGTGTATATCTTAGTTTATATTTAAGTCTACCTGCAGGTCCTCCGGCAGTCGCGCTCTTGGACGAGTGGGCGCCAGCGGTGCCCGCCTCTCGCTCGGACCGGACGGGCGAGGACGTGCGGACCGCCGGGACGAGGAAGACGACAACGACCATCAACCCCGACCCGTTCCTCTCCTCCCCGCCAGACGGAGGCGGCCTTGAAGGATCCGCCGAAGAGCTGCTCGTTATCCTCGCTCCGTCCGCAGAGGAGAAGGGAGTGGGGCAGGAGGGGGTGGGGGAAGAGGAGGTGGGGGAAGAGGAGGAGGAGGTGGGGGTGGGGCAGGAGGGGGTGGGGGAAGAGGAGGTGGGGGAGGGAGTGGGGCAGGAGGGGGTGGGGGAAGAGGAGGTGGGGGAGGGAGTGGGGCAGGAGGCGGTGGGGGAAGAGGAGGTGGGGGAGGGAGTGGGGCAGGAGGGAGTGGGGCAGGAGGGGGTGGGGGAAGAGGAGGTGGGGGAGGGGGTGGGGGTGGGGCAGGAGGGGGTGGGGCAGGAGGGGGTGGGGGAAGAGGAGGTGGGGGGAGGGGGTGGGGGTGGGGCAGGAGGGGGTGGGGCAGGAGGGGTGGGGGAGGGAGTGGGGCAGGAGGGGGTGGGGCAGGAGGGGGTGGGGGAAGAGGAGGTGGGGAGGGGGTGGGGCAGGAGGGGGTGGGGCAGGAGGCGGTGGGGCAGGAGGGGGTGGGGGAAGAGGAGGTGGGGGAGGGGGTGGGGCAGGAGGGGGAAGAGGAGGTGGGGGAGGGAGTGGGGCAGGAGGGAGTGGGGCAGGAGGGGGTGGGGCAGGAGGGGGTGGGGGAAGAGGAGGTGGGGGAGGGGGTGGGGCAGGAGGGGGTGGGGCAGGAGGCGGTGGGGCAGGAGGGGGTGGGGGAAGAGGAGGTGGGGGAGGGGGTGGGGCAGGAGGGGGTGGGGCAGGAGGGGGTGGGGCAGGAGGGGGAAGAGGAGGAGGTTCACGGTGACGAGGATGCGTTGGGCGCCTTGGAGGATGAGGGGCTCGAGGCGTCCCAGGAGGGCGTCGTCACGAGCACGGAGCTCGCGACGGCGGGAGAGTCACGGCGGCCGCACGCGGGAGTTGACGAGCCACCTGCACCTGCAGCAGGAGCAGATCAGGAATCTGAACCTGCAGCTGCAGCAGGAGTAGACGAGTCACTTGATTCTGAACCTGCAGCTGCAGCAGATCAGTCACCTGAATCTGAACCTGCAGCAGGAGTAGATGAGTCACCTGAATCTGAACATGCAGCAGGAGTAGACGAGTCACCTGAATCTGAACCTGCAGCTGCAGCAGGAGTGGACGAGTCACCTGAATCTGAACCTGTAGCTGCAGCAGGAGTAGATCAGTCACCTGAATCTGAACCTGCAGCTGCAGCAGGAGTGGACGAGTCACCTGAATCTGAACCTGCAGCAGGAGTGGACGACTCACCTGAATCTGAACCTGCAGCTGCAGCAGGAGTGGACGACTCACCTGAATCTGAACCTGCAGCTGCAGCAGGAGGAGACGAGTCACCTGAATCTGAACCTGCAGCTGCAGCAGGAGTAGATGAGTCACCTGAATCTGAACCCGCAGCTGCAGCAGGAGTAGACGACTCACCTGAATCTGAACCCGCAGCTGCAGCAGGAGTGGACGACTTACCTAAATCTGAACCTGCAGCTGCAGCAGGAGTAGACGACTCACCTGAACCTGCAGCTGCAGCTGCAGCAGGAGTGGACGAGTCACCTGAATCTGAACCCGCAGCTGCAGCAGGAGTAGACGACTCACCTGAATCTGAACCTGCAGCTGCAGCAGGAGTAGACGAGTCACCTGAATCTGAACCTGCAGCAGGAGTGGACGAGTCACCTGAATCTGAACCTGCAGCTGCAGCAGGAGTAGACGACTCACCTGAATCTGAACCTGCAGCTGCAGCAGGAGTGGACGAGTCACCTGAATCTGAACCTGCAGCTGCAGCAGGAGGAGACGAGTCACCTGAATCTGAACCTGCAGCTGCAGCAGGAGTAGACGACTCTCCTGAATCTGAACCTGCAGCAGGAGTGGACGAGTCACCTGAATCTGAACCTGCAGCTGCAGCAGGAGTGGACGAGTCACCTGAATCTGAACCCGCAGCTGCAGCAGGAGTAGACGAGTCGCCTGAATCTGAACCTGCAGCTGCAGCAGGAGTGGACGAGTCAAATGAATCTGAACCTGCAGCAGGAGTAGACGAGTCACCTGAATCTGAACCTGTAGCTGCAGCAGGAGTAGACGACTCACCTGAATCTGAACCCGCAGCTGCAGCAGGAGTAGACGAGTCGCCTGAATCTGAACCTGCAGCTGCAGCAGGAGTGGACGAGTCAAATGAATCTGAACCTGCAGCAGGAGTAGACGAGTCACCTGAATCTGAACCTGCAGCTGCAGCAGGAGTAGATGACTCACGTGAATCTGAACCTGCAGCTGCAGCAGGAGTAGACGAGTCACCTGAATCTGAACCTGCAGCAGGAGTGGACGAGTCATCTGAATCTGAACCTGCACCTGCAGCAGGAGTAGACGACTCACCTGAATCTGAACCTGCAGCTGCAGCAGGAGTAGACGAGTCACCTGAATCTGAACCTGCAGCTGCAGCAGGAGTAGACGAGTCACCTGAATCTGAACCTGCAGCAGGAGTAGACGAGTCGCCTGAATCTGAACCTGCAGCTGCAGCAGGAGTAGACGACTCACCTGAATCTGAACCTGCAGCAGGAGTAGACGAGTCACCTGAATCTGAACCTGCAGCAGCAGCAGGAGTAGACGAGTCACCTGAATCTGAACCTGCAGCTGCAGCAGGAGTGGACGAGTCACCTGAATCTGAACCTGCAGCTGCAGCAGGAGTAGACGAGTCACCTGAATCTGAACCCGCAGCTGCAGCAGGAGTAGACGACTCACCTGAATCTGAACCTGCAGCTGCAGCAGGAGTAGACGAGTCACCTGAATCTGAACCCGCAGCTGCAGCAGGAGTAGACGAATCACCTGAATCTGAACCCGCAGCTGCAGCAGGAGTAGACGAGTCGCCTGAATCTGAACCTGCAGCTGCAGCAGGAGTGGACGAGTCAAATGAATCTGAACCTGCAGCAGGAGTAGACGAGTCACCTGAATCTGAACCTGCAGCTGCAGCAGGAGTAGATGACTCACGTGAATCTGAACCTGCAGCTGCAGCAGGAGTAGACGAGTCACCTGAATCTGAACCTGCAGCAGGAGTGGACGAGTCATCTGAATCTGAACCTGCACCTGCAGCAGGAGTAGACGACTCACCTGAATCTGAACCTGCAGCTGCAGCAGGAGTAGACGAGTCACCTGAATCTGAACCTGCAGCTGCAGCAGGAGTAGACGAGTCACCTGAATCTGAACCTGCAGCAGGAGTAGACAAGTCACCTGAATCGGAACCTGCAGCTGCAGCAGGAGTAGACGACTCACCTGAATCTGAACCTGCAGCAGGAGTAGACGAGTCACCTGAATCTGAACCTGCAGCAGCAGCAGGAGTAGACGAGTCACCTGAATCTGAACCTGCAGCTGCAGCAGGAGTGGACGAGTCACCTGAATCTGAACCTGCAGCTGCAGCAGGAGTAGACGAGTCACCTGAATCTGAACCCGCAGCTGCAGCAGGAGTAGACGACTCACCTGAATCTGAACCTGCAGCTGCAGCAGGAGTAGACGACTCACCTGAATCTGAACCTGCAGCTGCAGCAGGAGTGGACGAGTCACCTGAATCTGAACCCGCAGCTGCAGCAGGAGTAGACGACTCACCTGAATCTGAACCTGCAGCTGCAGCAGGAGTAGACGACTCACCTGAATCTGAACCTGCAGCTGCAGCAGGATGTGGACGAGTCACCTGAATCTGAACCCGCAGCTGCAGCAGGAGTAGACGACTCACCTGAATCTGAACCTGCAGCTGCAGCAGGAGTAGACATGTCCCCTGAATCTGAACCCGCAGCTGCAGCAGGAGTAGACGACTCACCTGAATTTGAACCTGCAGCTGCAGCAGGAGTAGACGAGTCACCTGAATCTGAACCTGCAGCAGGAGTGGACGAGTCACCTGAATCTGAAACTGCAGCAGGAGTGGACGAGTCATCTGAATCTGAACCTGCAGCTGCAGCAGGAGTAGATGACTCACCTGAATCTGTACCTGCAGCTGCAGCAGGAGTAGACGAGTCACCTGAATCGGAACCCGCAGCTGCAGCAGGAGTAGACGAGTCACCTGAATCTGAACCTGCAGCTGCAGCAGGAGTGGACGAGTCACATGAATCTGAACCTGCAGCAGGAGTAGACGAGTCACCTGAATCTGAACCTGCAGCAGGAGTGGACGAGTCATCTGAATCTGAACCTGCAGCTGCAGCAGCAGTAGACGAGTCGCCTGAATCTGAACCTGCAGCAGGAGTAGACGAGTCACCTGAATCTGAACCTGCAGCTGCAGCAGGAGTAGACGAATCACCTGAATCTGAACCTGCAGCTGCAGCAGGAGGAGACGAGTCGCCTGAATCTCAACCTGCAGCTGCAGCAGGAGTAGACGACTCACCTGAATCTGAACCTGCAGCAGGAGTAGACGAGTCACCTGAATCTGAACCTGCAGCAACAGCAGGAGTGGACAAGTCACCTGAATCTGAACCTGCAGCTGCAGCAGGAGTGGACGAGTCACCTGAATCTGAACCTGCAGCTGCAGCAGGAGTAGACGAGTCACCTGAATCTGAACCCGCAGCTGCAGCAGGAGTAGACGACTCACCTGAATCTGAACCTGCAGCTGCAGCAGGAGTAGACGACTCACCTGAATCTGAACCTGCAGCTGCAGCAGGAGTGGACGAGTCACCTGAATCTGAACCCGCAGCTGCAGCAGGAGTAGACGACTCACCTGAATCTGAACCTGCAGCTGCAGCAGGAGTAGACGAGTCACCTGAATCTGAACCTGCAGCAGGAGTGGACGAGTCACCTGAATCTGAAACTGCAGCTGCAGCAGGAGTAGATCAGTCACCTGAATCTGAACCTGCAGCTGCAGCAGGAGTAGGTGACTCACCTGAATCTGTACCTGCAGCTGCAGCAGGAGTAGACGAGTCACCTGAATCGGAACCCGCAGCTGCAGCAGGAGTAGACGAGTCCCCTGAATCTGAACCTGCAGCTGCAGCAGGAGTGGACGAGTCACATGAATCTGAACCTGCAGCAGGAGTAGATGAGTCACCTGAATCTGAACCTGCAGCAGGAGTAGACGAGTCATCTGAATCTGAACCTGCAGCTGCAGCAGCAGTAGACGAGTCACCTGAATCTGAACCTGGAGCAGGAGTAGACGACTCACCTGAATCTGAACCTGCAGCTGCAGCAGGAGTGGACGAGTCACCTGAATCTGAACCTGCAGCTGCAGCAGGAGTAGACGAGTCACCTGAATCTGAACCCGCAGCTGCAGCAGGAGGTAGACGACTCACCTGAATCTGAACCTGCAGCTGCAGCAGGAGTAGACGACTCACCTGAATCTGAACCTGCAGCTGCAGCAGGAGTGGACGAGTCACCTGAATCTGAACCCGCAGCTGCAGCAGGAGTAGACGACTCACCTGAATCTGAACCTGCAGCTGCAGCAGGAGTAGACGACTCACCTGAATCTGAACCTGCAGCTGCAGCAGGAGTGGACGAGTCACCTGAATCTGAACCCGCAGCTGCAGCAGGAGTAGACGACTCACCTGAATCTGAACCTGCAGCTGCAGCAGGAGTAGACATGTCCCCTGAATCTGAACCCGCAGCTGCAGCAGGAGTAGACGACTCACCTGAATTTGAACCTGCAGCTGCAGCAGGAGTAGACGAGTCACCTGAATCTGAACCTGCAGCAGGAGTGGACGAGTCACCTGAATCTGAAACTGCAGCAGGAGTGGACGAGTCATCTGAATCTGAACCTGCAGCTGCAGCAGGAGTAGATGACTCACCTGAATCTGTACCTGCAGCTGCAGCAGGAGTAGACGAGTCACCTGAATCGGAACCCGCAGCTGCAGCAGGAGTAGACGAGTCACCTGAATCTGAACCTGCAGCTGCAGCAGGAGTGGACGAGTCACATGAATCTGAACCTGCAGCAGGAGTAGACGAGTCACCTGAATCTGAACCTGCAGCAGGAGTGGACGAGTCATCTGAATCTGAACCTGCAGCTGCAGCAGCAGTAGACGAGTCGCCTGAATCTGAACCTGCAGCAGGAGTAGACGAGTCACCTGAATCTGAACCTGCAGCTGCAGCAGGAGTAGACGAATCACCTGAATCTGAACCTGCAGCTGCAGCAGGAGGAGACGAGTCGCCTGAATCTCAACCTGCAGCTGCAGCAGGAGTAGACGACTCACCTGAATCTGAACCTGCAGCAGGAGTAGACGAGTCACCTGAATCTGAACCTGCAGCAACAGCAGGAGTGGACAAGTCACCTGAATCTGAACCTGCAGCTGCAGCAGGAGTGGACGAGTCACCTGAATCTGAACCTGCAGCTGCAGCAGGAGTAGACGAGTCACCTGAATCTGAACCCGCAGCTGCAGCAGGAGTAGACGACTCACCTGAATCTGAACCTGCAGCTGCAGCAGGAGTAGACGACTCACCTGAATCTGAACCTGCAGCTGCAGCAGGAGTGGACGAGTCACCTGAATCTGAACCCGCAGCTGCAGCAGGAGTAGACGACTCACCTGAATCTGAACCTGCAGCTGCAGCAGGAGTAGACGAGTCACCTGAATCTGAACCTGCAGCAGGAGTGGACGAGTCACCTGAATCTGAAACTGCAGCTGCAGCAGGAGTAGATCAGTCACCTGAATCTGAACCTGCAGCTGCAGCAGGAGTAGGTGACTCACCTGAATCTGTACCTGCAGCTGCAGCAGGAGTAGACGAGTCACCTGAATCGGAACCCGCAGCTGCAGCAGGAGTAGACGAGTCCCCTGAATCTGAACCTGCAGCTGCAGCAGGAGTGGACGAGTCACATGAATCTGAACCTGCAGCAGGAGTAGATGAGTCACCTGAATCTGAACCTGCAGCAGGAGTAGACGAGTCATCTGAATCTGAACCTGCAGCTGCAGCAGCAGTAGACGAGTCACCTGAATCTGAACCTGGAGCAGGAGTAGACGACTCACCTGAATCTGAACCTGCAGCTGCAGCAGGAGTAGATGAATCACCTGAATCTGAACCTGCAGCTGCAGCAGGAGGAGATGAGTCGCCTGAATCTCAACCTGCAGCTGCAGCAGGAGTAGACGACTCACCTGAATCTGAACCTGCAGCTGCAGCAGGAGTAGACGAATCACCTGAATCTGAACCTGCAGCTGCAGCAGGAGTAGATGACTCACCTGAATCTGAACCTGCAGCTGCAGCAGGAGTAGACGAATCGCCTGAATCTGAACCTGCAGCAGGAGTGGACGAGTCACCTGAATCTGAACCTGCAGCTGCAGCAGGAGTAGATCAGTCGCCTGAATCTGAACCTGCAGCTGCAGCAGGAGTAGACGAGTCACCTGAATCTGAACCTGCAGCTGCAGCAGCAGTAGACCACTCACCTGAATCTGTACCTGCAGCTGCAGCAGGAGTAGATCAGTCACCTGAATCTGAACCTGCAGCTGGAGCAGGAATATATGAATCACCAGCACCTGAAGCAGGAATAGATGAGTCACTTGAACCTGCAGCAGATATAGGCATTGACATCTCACCTGAATCTGGAACCGTTATCAACGATCTGGACCCTTCGCCTGAAGCTCCAGCCATGGTAGAAGACCCTGACACATCTCCTGAACCTGCAGCCTTGATGGAAGGCCCGGATGCGTCACACGAACCCACAGCACGAGGAGAAGTTCACGAAGGCCTCGTCACGTCTCCTCAACCTCCTGCCGCCGTCGAGGGTCTCCACGTCTTGTCTCGACGTCCCACCGTCATCAAGGGCCTCGGCGTCTCTCCTGAACCTCCTTCTCTCGCCGCCGGTGGTGTTGGTGGTGCTGACGGTGGCGGCGGCAAACCGGACGTAGCGGCTGAAGCAGACATGGCACCTGAACTGGATGTGGCGACCGAACCGGATGTGGCACCCAAACCAAACATGGCACCTGTTTCAGACGTGGCACCTGCAGCGGACGTAGCACCTGGAGCAGACGTGGCACCCGGAGCGAACGTAGCACTTGAAGCGAACGTAGCACCCGAAGCGAACGTGTCACCTGCAGCGGACGTAGCACCAAAACCAAACATGGCACCTGATTCAGACGTAGCACCTGGAGCAGACGTAGCACCTGGAGCGGACGTAGCACCTGAAGCGAACGTGGCACCTGGAGTGGACATAGCACCTGAAGCGCACGTGTCACCTGCTGCGGACGTAGCACCACCTGAAGCGAACGTGGCACCTGATTCAGACGTGGCACCTCCAGCGGACGTGGCACCCGGAGCGGACGTAACGACCGACTCGGCGAAGGAGCCACGGGGCTCCCCGGACGCTGCGGGGGGCGACGTGTTGGTGCTATTCAGCATGCGCGTCACCAACATGCGCTTCAGCGAGGCGCTCTTCGACAGGGAGTCCGTCGAGTACAGGGACCTCGAGAAGAAGTTCCTGGACCTGGTAAGGGTTGGGGTCGAGTCCGCCGGTCGGGGTCCGTTCTGTGTCGTGGAACCGCAGGGGAGGGGGGGGGGGGCGCGAGTACTCGATGGAACTCGGGAGGGGGGGCGCAGGATGGGAGGGGGGTAGAAAGAGTCACATTTGGAGTGGAGTCACCGACCTGGGGTTTGCGTTCCACCAAAGATGAGAGAAGCCAATAGCAAAAAACCGTCCGGCTCGCATTCTACCCGCATTTACGTGATGCGATTTTTAAAGTGGGCGTACGTTTTATTAATTTACACTTATTTTTTTTTCTTTAAATCTTCTGTTTACTATCGTAAATATAATATGTTGCCGTAAGCAAGGAAATATATAGATGTAAGAGCATGCCCTCCCCTAACCCCAAACGTTTCCTTGATTTCTTATGGGGAAAAAACTTTACGTTTTAATCCATGCGATTTTGAGTTAGGCGCCGTTTTACAAGAACACAACCCCCGCGTAAAACGAGAGGTAGCCGTGATGTGGAGTGTACCTCGCGCGGCAGATGAAGAGAAAAGCAATCATTGCAAAAACCCCACCGCATCTCGAGAGACGTAGTGGGTCTTTTGTTGTTGTTGATGATGACGACGATGATTACACAAGGTCAATGGGCTTGATGATGACGATGATGACGATGATGATGCAGGGTCAGTGGGCTTGATGACGATGATGACGATGATTACACGAGGTCAGTGGGCTTGATGACGATGATGACGATGATGACGCAAGGTCAGTGGGCTTGATGACGATGATGACGACTATGATGACGATGATTACACAAGGTCAGTGGGCTTGACGATGATGACGATGATGACGCAAGGTCAGTGGGCTTGACGATGACGACGATGATGACGCAAGGTCAGTGGGCTTAACGATGACGCGCGCGTGTCTTGTTTGTGAGTGCGACGGCGCACGTCTCCTCCACCCCTCCACCGACGTTGACTCCGGCCCCTCCCCTCCCGCCCCCAGCTGGTGCCCTACATCGGCGCCAACTTGGAGGGCTTCAAGCAGCTGGAGATCGTGCGCTTCGAGCGTGGCAGCGTGGTGGTGCGCAGCCGCGTCACGCTGGCGCGGGGGGCGACCGTGCGCCTTCGCCGCCACCGCCACAGCGCCGGCGCCGGTGACGGTGACGCCGGTGACGCCGGTAACGCTGGTGACGCCGGTGCAGCCGCCACGCCGCGTGCCACCCTGCTGTGCCTGCTGCGGGAGCTGTGCAGCGCCGCGCCGGCGAGCGCCGACATCAACATCGACCGCAACTCGCTCGACGTGGGCGGCGATGACGACGGAGGAGGTGGTGGCACAACGCTAGCACCCTAGCAGCACCACTAGCACCCTAGCAGCACCACTAGCACCACTAGCAAAACTAGCAGCACCACTAGCAACACCGCTAGCAGCACCACTAGCAACCACGGCCAACATCAGCGGCCCTGCCCCTCACTACCTCGCCTGGTGTACAGGAGGTCGTGGGTTCGATCCCGACCCTGACGCCTGCTGCTGTATATTTGGAGTTTGCGTGTCTCTCTCTTTCTCTCATCATCATCACGGTGTCTAGGAGATGTTAACTACCTCGCCTGGTATACAGGAGGTCGTGGGTTCGATCCCGACCCTGACGTCTGCTGCTGTAGATTTGGAGTTTGCGTGTCTCTCTCTCCCCGTGGTCGCGTGGATATTTCTCCGGGTCCTCCGGTTTTTCCCCCTCCACATGAAGAATCGACGTCACGCGTTTAAGAGTATTTGCCTCCTGCTATACATGTCCACACGATGATGTGGAGTCCCTCAACTCCGTTGGTTTATCATTTGTGATGGCCAGGTTGCTTCTAATAAAAGAACTGCGTAGCTCCGCGGGGCATTCCACCGAGTAAAATAAAAATGCTTAGTTGAAGCGCTGAGAGGCTTCTTCTTGGTTCTTTCGGTAAAGTCACGTAGAATGGAAATAATAAAATCATATTATGCCCATGCATTATGCAGGATTATTATGCCCGTGCATTATGCTAATCCTGCATAATGCACGGGCATAATATGACTTTGAAAACCCCTGCCCACCTCCTACGCATTTCACAAGTAGTACTAATCCCATATCTGCATTTCCCATAAATATGCTAAATTCCTCTTGATATGCAAATTATTTTGTCAAGGCGCTCTTCCCCCTCCAACCTCAGCTTAAATATACGCTCCAAGCCTGGGGTGTTTCATTCAGACTCTGTCTTCCCGACAGACCTGTTCTTCACCTGAGGACGGCTGCTTGCGTTGTGGCCTAAACGTCGTGAGAATTATTTTATTATCACTATGAGATCTCTTTTACCAGTGGCAATGAGATCTCATTGTGTAAATGCTTACCCCGAGCTCTCAAGACTCTGATATTGCACTGTGTTTGAGTTGTACGCCTTCTGGTGTCATCTGGTCCAACACCAATGGGGACTAGGCTCTAAAGAAAGCCGTCTCGGGTGTGGACCAATCAACTTCAAGGACATTGCATATGATTATCATTATCAGAGTTGCTTCTTTTTGTTTGCTTTTTTGACTACTTGTGTTGTGGTTATTGCAAACATGATGCTTGAATAAAGGTGTCAGTTTTGTACCAGTTTAAATGGGTAAAAACCTACTATTATTATTTTATTATGTTTTATTTTTATTATTGTATTATTTCCCTTCTACGTGACTTTACCGAAAGAACCAAGAAGATGAATCCCTGCAGTCACGAAAGCTTTAAATCGAAATTTTATGATGTTTTATTTTTATTATTTTATTACTTCCCTTCTACGTGACTTTACCGAAAGAACCAAGAAGATGTATCCCTGCAGTCACGAAAGCTTTAAATCGAAATTTTATGATGTTTTATTTTTTATTATTTTATTACTTCCCTTCTACGTGACTTTACCGAAAGAACCAAGAAGATGAATCCCTGCAGTCACGAAAGAAGCTTTAAATCGAAGCACTGAGAGAGGCTCTCTCATCGGCTCGGTTTGCCCAGTGCCTCTCAGGCAGTGGAGTATTAATCGCCGAGTTAAATCCGCTCAACATCAATTACAGTCACGAATTAACTTCGTGCAGCATTCATGAGAAAAGCGGAAAGAAAAAAAATTCTAATGGACCCAAATGATTTCTCCACGCCGGCCATTCATCAACGGGGGGGAGTTTGCCAAGGTTTCCGCGTCGTCTGGCACACTGCACCCTGCTGCTGCTGCTGCACCCTAATGCTGCTGCTGCACCCTGCTGCTGCTGCACCCTGCTGCTGTTGCTGCACCCTGCTGCTGCTGCACCCTGCTGCTGCTGCTGCACCCTGCTGCTGCTGCACCCTGCTGCATCATGCACCCTGCTGCTGCTGCTGCACCCTGATGCATCATGCACCCTGTACACTGCTGCACGCTGCTGCACCCTGCTGCATCATGCACTCTGTACACTGCTGCACGCTGCTGCACCCTGCTGCATCATGCACCCTGTACGCTGCTGCACGCTGCTGCAAGCTGCTGCATAGTGCATCCTGCTGCACCCTGCTGCACATTGCACCATGCACGCTCTGCACTGCTGCACGATGCACGCTGCTGTACACTGCTGCGGCCCCCGCTGCAGCCTGCTGCACACTGCTGCTAGCTGCTGCATAGTGCATCCTGCTGCACGCTGCTGCACATGTAGACTGCCATCGCTGCTGCCACAGGGTGGAGACCCAGAGGTCGCCGGGTTCGACTCCATCTCCTGGCGGTCGACACGACGGAGCCAGTTTCTTTAATCCCCTCCCCGTCCCACCTCCTCCTCCTCCTCCCCACCACCACCACCACCTGCTCTGTCCACCCAGCAGCGTGAACGGGTTAACCACAGGGAGCCCACGGTCGGCACGTCACGTGGGGTGGCACCGGTGGTGGTGTGGGGAGCGGTGGGGTAGCGGTTAGGGCGCTGCGATACGTACCGACTGTGGTGGCGGTGGTGGTGGTGGTGGCGGTGGTGGTGGTGGTGGCAGAGGCGGCGATGATAGTGGTGGTGGTGGTGGTGGCAGTGTTGGAGGTGGTGGTGGCAGTGTTGGAGGTGGTGGTGCCGGCGGTGGTGGCGTCGATGGTGGAGGCGGCGGTGGTGCTGCTGGTGGTGGTGGCAGTGGCGGTGGTGGTGGTCCCGGTGGTGACGGTGGCGGTGATGCTGGTGGTGGTGGTAATGGCGATGGTGGTGGAGGCGACAGTGGTGGTGGTGGTGCTGGTGGTGGCGGTGATGGCAGTGGCGGTGTTGCTGGTGGTGGCGGTAGTGGCAGTGGCGGTAGTGGTGCAGCTGGTAGTGGCGGTGGTGGCGGTAGTGGCGGTGGTGGTGGAGGCAACGGTGGTGGTGGTGCAGCTGGTGGTGCCGGTGGTGGCAGTGGCGGTGGTGGCGGTGGTGGCGGTGGTGGCGGGAGAGAGGATTTAAGAAACCTGCTCCGTTGCGGTTCAACTGCCGTGCCGGGAGATGGAGTCTAACCGGTGACCCGTGGGGTGGCGGGTCCAGTGCGATGCCCAGTGTCGCTCCACCGCTGCGGTCAGCATCTCTGCTTTTTGGATTCGCTACAAAATCAGCCTGAGCAGAGGAACAAAATCAACCCCCCGGCTGCATTGGCCACTGCGACATTGAGGTCTAGATTTGTTGGTCAGCGGTGATCTCTCCGCTGTGGGATGAAAGTCTCCCAGGAGCTGCCGCCAACTCTCTCGAACTGCCCTCCCTCCATGCTGTCCCACTCATCTCGAGCTTTCTCCTTCACGCATCTGCACCGGTGCGATCAAGCCGAGTTTCACCGCACATCGTCACCGCACATCGTCACCGCACATCGTCACCGCACATCATCACCGCACATCGTCACCGTGCGTCTCCTCTCCCAACAGACACAGGAACAGAGCCGGAGGAGCCGGAGGAGGCGTGCCGTCTCGTGCGGTGCGACGAGACGTCGCGGTGCCGCGTGAGCGCCGACGGCCGCACCGCCCGGTGCGAGTGCCGGCCGGGCTACGTGGCGGTGCCGGCGGTGGATGTCGGCGGTGGACCTCCGTGCCAGAGGGAGTGCCCGGAGAACTCGTGCGCCGCCAGAAGCCGCTAGCCATGCCGGTGACCCCTACTGCCGCCGTGGTGGCGACGGTGGCGGCGGTGGCAGCGGCGGTGACGGTGGCGGCGGTGGCGGCGGCGCTGGCGGTGGCGGTGACAGCTGTGGTGAACGTGACGGGGGAGCCACCGAGCGTGACGATGACCACAACCGGCGCGCGACGGACCGTGACGAGACGAACTCGGGTCGCGGACCGACATTGTTCGCTACAGCCGGGAGACCACCACCAACGCGGCAAATTGGCCGTTCGTTGTGGCTATATACAAAACAAATTGAGTTCACTGATTGGCTGAGCTGAGAATACTGGGGGTCAGTGAGCGGGGAGCGGGTGGCACCCCCCCCCCCCCCACCACCAATGTTAACGACTCGGCGTGACGACCTCTCCTCTCTCACCTCTTTACTCACCTCTTTCCTAACCTCTCTCACCTCTCCTCACTCTCAAATCTCTCCTCTCTCTCCTCTCTCTCCTAACCTCTCTCTCCACTCTCACCTCTCTCACCCCTCGCTCCCCACTCTCTCTCTCCTCACTCCCCTCCACTCTCCCCCCTCTCTCCCCTCCGCTGACGCCGGGCCGAACTCCTCCGTTGCGCGTCGCCGCGAGATGAAACGAAACCCCGAATTAAGCGCGAAACGCATGAAAAATGCAACGCGGCTTCGTACCCTTTCGGGCGACAATACGAGGAGGCTGTTGAAGACGTTCAAACGCCAAATTGGACGCCGCGCAAAAAAGAATTGGTCCCCCGTAGATGTGCTCAGCCCGAGCGATTAACGCTTTCATATATAAATTCCCTTTGTGCTGCTCGCCTTGTCGGCCATTATTCTCTGACGTCGATGGTGACGCGAGGCCGTAGCTCTGCTGTGGGCCAATCGGTTTCAAAGGCAGTGCGTGACGTCATTGTCAGAGCACGTTCGTTTGCACGTTGTGGCACAAGTATGGTGTGTGTGGCTAATGCGGACTTCTTGATGATGCCGTGTAAGTGACAATAGCTGTTTGAACATCTCTCGTGTTAACTTTGTCACGTTGTGCTTAGTTTTGATTGTACTTTCCCGACACCTCCGATAAGCATGGTTGGCTACGTACGGTGCGAAAGAAGTTCAACGTATACACATAGACTCCAAGGCCGTAATTATAATAGAAATTGGGGGGGGGGACATCCCCCCCAATATTCAAATATGCTCAAAATGCCCCCCCCCCCCCAATATATTGCTATAAAAATAAAGAATTGCTATGCTGTGTAAATAAAAATAACAATTTGCTAAAACTTGGCCAAAATATCTGGACTTGTCTTCATAGAAATCAATACATAGATTTCTGTTTATAGGATTGTGGTTATAGTTATATTTTATTAATCCATAATCTCTGCCATTACATTCAATGATTGAAGAAATTTTTAAAAAGTAAAAACAGAGCAATGTAATACAATACACTATTAGACATTATTGTCAAAATAAATAAAAAGTCCATCCCATGTGTTAGTGACTTTTTAAAATATATTTTAGGCAGGAAATTAGTTGTAAAATTTCGATATTTTTCTGGGTTGGGACCCCCAGACCCCCTGGAAGATTTGGTCCCCCCCAATGTTGACTCCATGGCTACGGCCTTGATAGACTCACACAGTCACTCACCCACTCACTCACCCACTCACACAGTCACCCACCCACTCACATAGTCACTTACCCACTCACACAGTCACTCACCCACTCACACAGTCACCCACCCACTCACATAGTCACTCACCCACTCACACAGTCACTCACACAGTCACATAGTCACTCACCCACTCACACAGTCACTCACACAGTCACATAGTCACTCACCCACTCACACAGTCACCCACCCACTCACATGGTCACTCACCCACTCACACAGTCACTCACCCACTCACACAGTCACCCACCCACTGACATGGTCACTCACCCACTCACACAGTCACTCACACAGTCACATAGTCACTCATCCACTCACACAGTCACTCACCCACTTACATAGTTACTCACCCACTCACACAGTCACTCACCCACTCGCACAGTCACTCACACAGTCACTCACCCACTCACACAGGCACTCACCCACTCACACAGTCACTCACCCACACACTCACATTGTCACTAACTCACTCAGTCACTCAATCACTCACACAGTCACTCACACAGTCACATAGTCACTCACCCACTCACATAGTCACTAACCCACTCACATAGTCACTCAACACTCACACACTCACTCACCCACTCTCACAGTCACTCACCCACTCACATAGTCACTCACACACTCACATAGTCACTCACCCACTCACACAGTCACTCACCCACTCACATAGTCACTCACCCACTCACATGGTCACTCACACACTCACATAGTCACTCACCCACTCACACAGTCACCCACCCACTCACATGGTCACTCACCCACTCACACAGTCACTCACCCACTCACACAGTCACCCACCCACTCACATGGTCACTCACCCACTCACACAGTCACTCACACAGTCACATAGTCACTCATCCACTCACACAGTCACTCACCCACTTACATAGTTACTCACCCACTCACACAGTCACTCACCCACTCGCACAGTCACTCACACAGTCACTCACCCACTCACACAGGCACTCACCCACTCACACAGTCACTCACCCACACACTCACATTGTCACTAACTCACTCAGTCACTCAATCACTCACACAGTCACTCACACAGTCACATAGTCACTCACCCACTCACATAGTCACTAACCCACTCACATAGTCACTCAACACTCACACACTCACTCACCCACTCTCACAGTCACTCACCCACTCACATAGTCACTCACACACTCACATAGTCACTCACCCACTCACACAGTCACTCACCCACTCACATAGTCACTCACCCACTCACATGGTCACTCACACAAACACTCACCCATCCTCCAATTAGCATCAACACAACTCCTGTGTTATTTCCCTGAAATGGAAACGTTTATTTATTTTTCTCGTAATTCTGATACCGACATAACAAAATATGGTCCGGTTGATAGAGTCCTAAACGCGACTGCTGTGCTCACCGGAGCCACGTGGCCGGGGATCACGTGGGCGGGGATCACGTGGGCACCCACGGGGGTCACGTGGAGTCACCATGGGGGATAAAGCAAAGACAAAGATCCCCTCATAGCCTGAACAGACTGTAGGGGCAAGTGCTGCTAGCGAGCAACACCTATGTAGGCCGGCACTGTGGCACACGAAGTGGATGGGTGGCCAGCACCACGCCCGGCCGCCTTTGTCTCCCCAGTGGCGATGATTACTGCACACCGCACCAGGTACTCATTTGAGGCTGAGTCGACCTAGGGGAGGCCCGGGACCATGTTTAGACAGTCGTCACTGGTTGTTGGCTGCGAGCGGGAATCGAACTCGGGTGGCCAGGGTTCGTGGCACAGCGTGGTGCTAATCGCTGCGCCACCGCTCCGGCACGAGAGAATCCCAACACCCACAGACACACATACTCACTCCTCGATTTAAAGCTTTCGTGACTGCAGGGATTCATCTTCTTGGTTCTTTCGGTAAAGTCACGTAGAATGGATATAATAAAATAATAAAAAATAAAACATAAAATAATATCATATAATAATATCATAAAATAATATAATATAAAATATTATTTTATTATGTTTTATTTTTATTATTTTATTATATCCATTCTACGTGACTTTACCGAAAGATCCAAGAAGATACTCACTCTATGGGAACCTCATTTGCCAGTAAAAATATGATAATTGTTTTTTTACCCTTCTATCTGGCAACAAAACTGACATCTTTTAACAAGGAGTCATGTTTGCATAGACCGCAATACCTGCAGTCATAATACAAACAAAAGACATAACTCGGATAATATATGCACTGTCCTTGAAGTTGATTGGTCCACACCAGAGACAGCTTTCCTTAGAGCCTATTCTCCCCGCCCCCCATCCCCCCCGCCCCCCCCACCCCCCATTCCCCCCGCCCCCCATCCCCCCCGCCCCCCCACCCCCCATTCCCCCGCCCCCCATCCCCCCCGCCCCCCCACCCCCCATTCCCCCCGCCCCCATCCCCCCCGCCCCCCACCCCCCATTCCCCCCGCCCCCCATCCCCCCCGCCCCCCCATTCCCCCCGCCCCCCATCCCCCCCGCCCCCCCACCCCCCATTCCCCCCGCCCCCCCGCCGCTGTTGTTGTGTTGCTGTGTTGTTGTTGTGTTGTAGTTGTTGTCCTCCCGGGTGTAAGGGGATGGGGGAGTTTGCGAGGCGAGATTTACTCAGATTAGGGTGCCGTGGAGGACCCGGAGAGCCCAAGTGTTTAATGATGCTGGTGGTGGTGGTGTTGTTGTTGCTGTTGTTGTCGTAGTGACAACAACAGCAGCAACAGCGGCGGTGGTGTTTTATTTTCACGCACAGAGCACGCACACACACACAGCACGCACACAGCACACACAGCACACACACACAGCACACACACACAGCACACACACAGCACGCACACAGCACACACACAGCACACACACACACAGCACACACACACACAGCACACACAGCACACACAGCACACAGCACACACACACAGCACACACAGCACACACACAGCACACGCACACACACACAGCACACACACAGCACACAGCACACACACAGCACGCACACAGCACGCACACAGCACACACACAGCACACACACACAGCTCACACACACAGCACACACACACACAGCACACACACAGCACACAGCACACACACAGCACGCACACAGCACACACACAGCACACACACACACAGCACACACACACAGCACACACACAGCACACACACAGCACACACACATCACGCACACAGCACACACACAGCACACACACACACAGCACACACACACAGCACACACAGCACACACACACAGCACACACACACAGCACATACAGTACACACACAGCACACACAGCACACACAGCACACACACAGCACACAAACACAGCACACACAGCACACACACAGCACACAAACACAGCACACACAGCACACACACACAGCACACACAGCACACAAACACAGCTCACACACACACACAGCACACACACAGCACACACAGCACGCACACACACACAGCACACACAGCACATACAGTACACACACAGCACACACAACACACACAGCACACACACACAGCACACACACAGCACACAAACACAGCACGCACACAGCACGCACACAGCACACACACAGCACACACACACACAGCACACACAGCACGCACACACACACAGCACACACAGCACACACACAGCACACACACACAGCACACACAGCACACACACAGCACACACACAGCACACACACAGCACACAGCACACACACACACAGCACACACACACACAGCACACACAGCACGCACACACACAGCACACACAGCACACAGCACACACACACAGCACATACAGTACACACACAGCACACACACACAGCACACACACAGCACACAAACACAGCACACACAGCACACACAGCACACACACAGCACACAAACACAGCACACACAGCTAACACACAGCACACACAGCACACACAGCACACACACAGCACACAAACACAGCACACACAGCACACACACAGCACACACACAGCACACACAGCACACACACAGCACACACAGCACACACACAGCACACACACAGCACACACAGCACACACACACACCGCACGCAGCACGTACGCACTGCCAGGAAGCCGCAAACGAAGCGGGAATTGAAGGCGGCCAAGAACCGGCGTGACCAACAATCTGCCCAAGATCTGTCATCCTATATTGAGATGTATGGCCAACTCCATTCACAACGAGTGTTGTTGTTGTGTTGTTGTTGTTGTGTTGTTGTTATAACGAGCAATTGATGTGCACCAGCCAGAACCGGCGCGACCCAACACTTTGCCCAAGATCTGTGGTCTTCTATTGTTGACACATTGAGGCCAACTCCACTCCGAGTGATTATTTCAAAGTTGGGGAAAAGCGGAGTGCCCCGAGAAAGCTCACGCGTGGGGAGTGGGAGGCCAACACTGAACCCCGCGGTGGATAGATGTCGACTACCTCGCCTGGTACACAGGAGGTCGTGGGTTCGATCCCGACCCTGACGCCTGCTGCTGTGTATGTGCAGTTTGCGTGTCTCTCTCTCATCATCATCACGGTGGCTAGGAGATGTTAACTACCTCGCCTGGTACACAGGAGGTCGTGGGTTCGATCCCGACCCTGACGCCTGCTGCTGTGTATGTGGAGTTTGCGTGTCTCTCTCTCATCATCATCACGGTGGCTAGGAGATGTTAACTACCTCGCCTGGTATACAGGAGGTCGTGGGTTCGATCCCGACC